ATCATCATCAGCATCGCCATCATCGCCATCACATCATCACAATCATCAACAACAGCATGGTCTTCATCGTCAACGTAATCGTGGTCATCATCATCAGCCTCCACATCATCATACTTATCTTCATCGCCATCAACAACAACCACGACGACATCATCATCACAATTGCCAACAGCAGCATTACAGCTGCCTCTTCATCGTCTGTCGACTCGTCATCCTCATCAGCATTATCAAAAGCAGCATCATATCATCATCATAATCATCATCATCAGCATCCTCAGCTTCATAAGAATCTGAATCAACATCATCAGCCTCGTAGGCGGCGGCGTCATCATCATCACCATCATCATCGCCTCCATCATCAGCATCAGCATCATCAACAACAGACATTTCAAGCTTGGTCGCTCTGACCTGCTCGCTTGCCATTCACCACGTATATCCCAAACCCTCGGTACCCGCCCTCTTCGTGTTCGACCGTACCTTTGGGGGGATATCTTTCTTACCTGCACCATGTATTTCGCGCAGCCCCTAAGGCAGGAGAAGAGAAGACGGATGGAAGGAAGAGACAAGGGGGAAGGAGAAGGACCAATGTAAACCCAAGAGTTAACAACGATGTTGGAATAAACCCTCACTCCAAGCTCCCTCTTCATAGGCCCCTACAACGGGTCATTTCCACTGAGGGAACTGCCTCGTTGGAAGACAACCGTTTCAAGACCCTGACGCATGCCAAAACATGGTTCCCCAGATTCCAACCCCGCGGATCAACTAGAGTGTTGCTTCTTGACGATCCTGAACCATGCCAGAACGCAATTCCTGGGACTTCAACACCGCGAATACATGTAACTGCTGTACCCTCATAATACTGACTCTTTCCAAACGCAATTTCTGGAAAGTTTACCATGGAAGTCCATGAAACCCTTGCAAATTGTAATAACGAGCGTGCGCGGCGCCTAAGCGAGAGCACCGTTTTAAAAACAAACTGCCCTCTATCCGTGAAACTCTTGCAAATTGTTAAACCGAATGCGCGCGGCGCTAAAGCGAGAACCACATGTTGAAATCTAGTCGCCCTCAATCCGTGAAACTCGTGCGCATTGTTTATTCGAATGTGCGCGGCGTTGAGGCGAGAGCCACATTTGGAAACCACCCGCCCTCCATATGCGAAACTGTTGTCATTTGTTCAGCTTCTGGGTCATAATGGTGAGGAGAAGTCTTGAGCGAAACACCCGGCCCGCCCTAAAAACTGACCTCGGGGAGCGACAAGGAGAAGATATTCATCAGGAAAAAGAATTGAAGCAAGAGAGGGATTAGCAGGATGGCGGCTAGGAGCAGATCGGGCGGGCAGACCCTAGCGGGCGGGACGGGAAGGCGGGCCCAGGCGGCCAGGTCGAGCAAGCGGGTTGCTGAAGCGTGCGTCCTGCATGAGTCGCGAGGAAGTCTCGAGCGGTAGCGCGATTCCCAAGTGAATCGTGAGACATCCACAGCGAGAGCGTGATTCCTGAGTGTCGAAGGCGCAGCGTCTGCATAAATAACACCAGAGAAAAGCCCCAAGCATCGGATGGTCTTAAAATTAGTGATGGACATTAAGATCGATTGTGATATCGACATTGAAATCCATAGTGGGATCGACAGTGTAGACGATAGTAAGGTCGATTGTGAGACCGATTGTGAAGTCGGTTCAGTGAGATCGATAATGAGATCGATCGTGAGGCCGCTCGTGCGATCTTCAGTCACAGCTACCGTGAGATCGATAATGAAATCGGTTGTGACATCGACTGGGAGATCCATGGGGAGGCGGGCAGCGAGATCGATAATAAAACCGATCGACAACAAGGTCGGCTAGGAACCCGCGAGAATGAAACCCGGGAACCCCGCCGCCCACCGAAATCGGCCCAGAACCAGCAGTCAGAAACCTGGGAACCTGGAATCGGGACCCCAGGAACTGGGCGGCCTACCGAAATCGGCCCGGAACTTTCGCCACATCTTTCCATCCCCGCTGGGACTCCTTCAGTGCAAGCACTGACTGGGGAATTACGAGGAGGACCCACGAGAGAGCGCGATTCCTGCACAAATTGCGAGGAGGTCCCGCGCGAGAGCGCGATGTTGGAAGCAACTGTGAGAAAGTATCAGACAGGAGCCGTCGTTGTTGTAACTCTGGGGCGAGGAGGCCCGTTTGACCCTCAAGATCTTCCCGTTCGACCCCAGCACTTCAAATGGAAAAACACAGTGTGCGCCGGAGGGGGATCAACAATAATGTTACATCAACAACAACAACAACAACAACAACAACAATCACTTTACCCGAACGCTCAGTGTTCTCACGAGTGCCAGGGTTTTCATGCGACGCCAGCCAATACCCCCACTTTGTGGGGGGGCAGTGCAAGCTCTACCAAATATCCACACGACTCTTCGCCACCACCCACACCCAGCTTCCCGCCCTATGACGTTCGGACACTTCACTTCGTGGCCTGCGGACGACCGTGGCTACTACACTGGCGTGGAGTAC